AGGTGCTCAGGCATGAAACTGTGCCGCTCACACACTGTACTTTTCCGCTCACACTGAAAAAAAATTAGAGGGAACATTGCTTGACAGGCTTGTTATATACCAAACCCTCTGTACTTAAACCATGGCCCGGACAAGGTCTGAAGTGGACATTGGAATGTCAAAAAACATTTGAGGGACTGAAGGCACTTTTCCCTCATGAACCTATCTTGAAACACCCTGATCTGGAACAGGTGTTTGTAGTACAAGCAGATGCCAGCGACGTCATTGTGGGAGCCATATTGTTACAAGCTGATAAGCAGGGTAGACTGCAGCCTTGCACCTATGTATTCCGGAAGCTCACCTCGACCTGTGGATGTGGATCATTACAAAATAGAAACCATATTGGATGCATGCACCTATAGGGGCAAACTCCAATACCTAGTGAGATGGAAGGGGTATACTCTAGCTTAAGGCATCCTGGATGGCAATGCCTGATGTCAGGGCCACACGACTACTGCGTAAATTCCATAACAAATACCCATATAAACCTGGGGGGGGGGGAGTGACAAATAATGTATATGGTAATAACCCTTTTGCCTTCTATCTTCTAGGTGAACCCCTCGTAGAGGGGAGCCGCCTGTCGAGCCCCAGTCTGAGGCTCGACCTTACTAGGGGGAATTGGCAGGGGGTGGCGCCAGAGGAATGTGGTAACCTGCCTCCAGTGTGGGGCCTCTGATTCCATCTACAAGCAGCAATGATGATTGATGACATCACAGCACCAGCACTGAGATGCAGAGGCGACTGAGCTGTTTAAATTTGTTATGTTCTGATAAGCTGCGAGGGAATTTGCTGCACTGGATGATTGCTACTGGGGTGAAGCAACCAGATAAAAAGTGCTGGAAGACACTTATCTTGTTTAAATTCTTATCATGTGCTATGGTCCAAGCTTGTAGCAGAAATAAAGCTCAGAGGTTTCTCAGATACTGGAGTGTAAAGGAGCCTTTGTTTTATCTGCACGTGCTGGCCTAGACCTCCATATAGAATATTCTTTCCGCTGATTAATAAATGCCAAAGAAGTTGAAATTCCAGCATTGAAGCAATAGATACACTATGCACTAATTAACTTTCATAGACTCAATCCCTTCTAGACAGATATGAACCAGAAATCTATGGGCATCCTATTGATCTTTGATGGATTGATTACTTCAGACTTCCAGCACTATGAAAATATTCTCAATATAACACATACAATTATTTCTCAGAGAAAATGCATGTGGGCTCTAGTCATTTTAGAACAATTATTTCATTTTTCTTAAATACTTAAGTTTGACTTCTTAGTTGCATCTCATAATATTTTAATGAAACAAGATAATGATCATATATACTTTTATAATTCTTACCATGCTCTGCTGGATTAGATTCATTAAGTCTGCCTATTGTATCATTGTCCCTTTGGTTACTGCATTCTATGGAAAAATACTCCAATGCCGTGACAGACTGGGATTTAATGAGGTATTCTGAATGATGCTGATCAGATTCCTTATTTGAAGCAATTAAAAAAAAGACAAAAGTAGGATCATAATTCAGCCATAAATTACTGAATATATTCTGACTAGAATCAATGGGATTTTCTATGAAGAATGGCTTTAAAAATATTCTTATTAATTTTTAAAACATATAAAGCTAGGTAAATGTAAAGGTTCCCCTCACACATATGTGCTAGTTGTTCCTGACTCTAGGGGGGCAGTGTTCATCTCTGTTTCAAAGCCGAAGAGCCAGCGCTATCCAAAGATGTCTCTGTGGTCATGTGGCTGGCATGACTAGATGCCGAAGGGCCACAGAACACTGTTACCATCCCACCAAAGGGGGTTCCTATTTTTCTACTTGCAATTTTACATGCTTTTGAACTGCTAGGTTGGCAAAAGCTGGGACAAGTAATGAGAGCTCACCCCTTTATGCAGCACTAGGGATTCGAACCGCTGAACTGCCGACCTTTTCTGATCGACAAGCTCAGTGTCTTAGTCACTGAGCCACCGCATACCTTTTACCTTTACCTTTACATAAAGCTAATGGAACCCTAAAATCAGCAAAACTACCTATTGTACCAAATCATATTATTGGAATTGGATTAATCTAGTATTTTCTTTTTATAGAAGGAAACACAGTTTTGGGAAAACTAAAATAGTATGATTAATAAATAAATAAATATTTAGCCACATGTGGTAGCTTTCATTGTCCAGCAAATAAATTATATATAAAGTGATCCCAAAATAATTTAGAATAAATATTGGATAGTCATTAAATTGAGATATAATATGCACAAGCATAATTCATTTTCAGTTACAATTTCAAATTAATTTGTTTTAACTATTTTCATAAATCAATTTAAAGTATATAGTGATTTTATAAACTAAGGAGTATTATAATTTATACTCTTTTAAATATTTTTTTGAAAACTTATACAAGATTAATTACTACTTTCTCTACTATATTAACTATACTATGAACAAGACAGATAGTTAAAATACTATAGAAATTCATTGTAAATTTTTAGAAAAGTGAAAAGGGTAGAATCAGTTCTTACATGAAGCACATCTATATTCACTTGGTGAAAATTACGGAATCGAAGTTCTTTCATTCTTTTAAGATTTTCTTGATATTTTTCTTCAGCCAACTGTCTGAAAGGAGAATACTGGTATCAATTGCAAATTGTAGTATTTCAAATGATTTAAGGAAACATTTATTGTGTAAGAATTGAATGTAAATTGGCATGAGAAAGAAATACATGTTAATTCTGAATTCTGAAATTGGGGGAAATGACCTTGCCATTTCAAGGGAATATTAAATCTCCATTATTAAATTGCTACATAGTCTTAAATATCAGAGTTATTTTAAAACAGTTTCTTAAGAATAATAAACTAAATAGGTACAAAACAATAAAATGTTACAAGACTGGATGCTTAAATCTGAAATACTTCTTCCCTTATATAGTTCTTCAAAGCTGAAGTAAGGATTATAACCTTTGGAAACCTAAGGGTTGGAAGAAGCTGCTGAATGTAAAAGACCAAAAGGAAAAAAGCTGCTAAAGAATTTTAAAAGATCGCTTGAACTTCAGCAAACATGCTTCTGTAAGAAACATTTGGAGGACACAGGGAAGAACACACTGGAATCCTTGGATGTGAATTTAAAGAGAAGAGGAGGAGAGGGAAAGGGAGGGGAGAAGGGCAGCAAATTAAAAAACAACAACAATTCTATTGTAGATTCAGGCATTCCAACATCTTGCCCTATTTTAGCATTGCTATCACAACGTGTAGGTCAATCAATTACCATATATCCAATTTTTGTTCTAATGTAATAATGAGACTCCTCTTTTTAAAACTTATCTAAATTGCCAACTGCAACTGTGCATTTACTAGTTTCAATTGCACATGCCCAAGTCTCGTACTAACTGAATTTTGAGTCATGTTAAGGGCAATTTGGAATCAATTTACAATTTGGTCCAAATTAAATACTGCATTATTCAAATTCAATGTAATCATGACATATCTATAAAACATATACGGTATATATGTTTTGCTTTCTAATTCTGATAAAGGAACCTAACCGAAAAGTTACAAATATTATTTATCATTATAGTGCTTTGTGTGCTTCAGATAATGATATAATTAGTGGAATAACTCTTTGCTTGCTTTCAAAGCACTTTTTTCAACACTATTAGAACTTGTTTGGACAGTTATTATGACTATACAATATCATGCAGTTTTCTGTCTATTTGATAGTACAGATATTTCCAAACCTTAAAAATGGGGATACACCATTTTTTGCCCTATACCATAGGGCAAAAATAATAACAAATAACAACAAATAACAAATAACAGCAACTTTATCACAACTTTATTAGTCCCTTCCAACTCTGTTATTCTGTCTATCTGACAAATCTGTAGTTCTAATAAAGTTGACTTTAGTCGTAAACAGACACAAATTCTATACATTTTACTATTTTGCATGTTGTTATTTTTGCCCTATGGTATACTGTATCTCCCATTATAGAATTTTGAAATATCTAGACTACTAAATAGACAGAAAACTGCATGACATTGTATAGTCCTAACAACTGTTCAAACAAATGGCAACAATGATTAAAAGTGTTCTGAAAGCAAGCAAACAGTTATTTCACTAAATATATCAGTATTTGAAGCACACAAAGAGCTAGAATAATAAATAACATTTGTAATTTCTCTGTTAGGTTCATTTTCAGAATTAGAAAGCAAAACACATGCTATATATAATTTACAAGAGGAAAATATAATGAAGGAGTGTATCAAATCATCACCTTCTGATTACAAATGATTTTGATAAAATTATAAATACATGACTAACACAAGTGTTTGCTTACTTCAGCTTCTGTGCTGTTTGATCAGCTAAATTTAATTTCCGCAATCGCATTCGTTCACGAGGTGTCATTTTCTGCACTTCAGATATGGCCCTCAGAGTTTGGAGATGTACCTTTTTCTTTCTAAAATTGAGAAGAAATAATAAAATTGGAATTAAAAAATTGGAGGAAAGAAGGCAGTTTGTGATATCAAGCTGGAAAGAAAAGTTTATTTCATGTGTTAAAAGAAATTGACAAATTTACAAAAATACCCTTTATATCAACGATGGCTAACCTTTTTGTTATTGTGTGGTAAAAGTGTGTTTGCATGCACTCATAAGGCAATGCATGTGTGACCCCCCGACGCATGTAGGTGTGACCATATGTGTGCCCCACCCCTCACATATGCACGTCCGACTCCACTGTGCTCTCCTTCTCCCTGCTCATCTGTGTGTGACCCCCATGCTCCCCCCTGTGCATGCATTTGTGACCCCTTATGCGTCCTCTCCCATGCATCCTCACACATGACCCCTGCAAACGCTCCACCCCCGTGCATGCATGCACATCTCATGTCATCCCCACGCACACCCCACCCCCATGTATGCATGTACATCTCACACATGCACCCCGTCCCTGCATCTGTGCAGCAGAGACCCAAAAACCAGCTGGCCAGCGGGAGACATGCGCACATGCACAATAGAGCTGAACTGAGCCAATGGCTTGTATGCCCATATAGAGTGCACTGTGTGCCACCTGTGGCACACATCAAATGTAGGTTGCTCCTGGTTCGGACTGGTTTCAGTGAACAGGTAATGGTAATTGGGCATGGGTCGCCGAACCAGTAGTGATGGCTGGCTGGCCATGCCCCCAAACCGGCCCGCTCTGACGCTCGCCCTGCCTCATCTTCGCCACTTGAATCCACAGAACTGCCTCCTCCTGCCTACACACAGTAAGAATTTGCGCTCCTTTGCAAAAGCTGAGGATGGAAGAGATGCCTCTTCCGTCCTTGGCTGTTGTGAAGAAGTTGTGTCACACCCACTTCATTCTCTGGCCCCTCTCCTTCCCTCCCTTTGCTGCTACCACCAGGATGCCACCAGGGCAAGTGCATGGTGTGTGTGTAGGGGAACATGGACCTTTCAGCGCTGATGTAGAAGCAGGGGCCCACTTTTAAGGATCAGCGAGTGGGGACTCTCTTTTCCTGGCACACACCAGACTGACCAATTGACTGCGTCACCATCTTACCCCTTCTGTGCTGGCTGGTGACAGCAGGGGCGCCCACCCCGAGAAAAGGGGAGAGGGGAAAAGGAAAGGTCTCTCCCAAGACTGGCTTATTTCCTGCCCTCCGTGGCGTCAGTCCATAGGGGAAGGGCACAGACCATTTGGCACTGAGGTAGAAGCAGCCATGGTGGCGGGGAAAGGGAGGCTTCTTTGTCAGTCTTGCAGCTGGCAAAACAGAGATTTTCATCAGTGTAGTGGGCTTGGCTAGGTGGGGGGCATGTGACTGAGTAGGCCTGGGCATGAGTGATGTCATGCCCCATGCCCACTCAGTCACATGCCCCCCACCTAGCCACACCCATCAAACTGTTAGTTAAAAAATTTGAAACCCACCCCTGGCATGCATTCCATAGGTTTGCCATCATGGCCTTATGTCATGTATTGAAGGAAATTCACACATGAACATACGCATGTACACACACACCTGACTCCACCTCCCAAGGAAGATTTTCCAGAATTTTTCAATTCCCCCACCTAACACAAATTGTTATATGAAATGTGAGTTTAATACAAGTCCAAAACAAAAGCTCAGTCCCCTGCTTTATCAAAAAAGTAAAAGTATGTATTGTATTACATACTGTGTTGCATTGTATCATAAGTGTCACTCCAGTATACATGTGTGAGATTACAGCATCTATGATCTCCAAAAGGTTTTAGAATCCTGTTAGAATTAATAATTTTTTATCTCTCTGAATGCTATATATATTTTTGGATTTAAATGCTTACTGGTAAAATTCAATAGATCCTTATTCCATTGTCACAATTTTTTGAATAAATCACTAATAATTTATCTCATCATCTATCTATCTCCCTCCTCTCTTTAACACACAAAACACACACACAAAACACACACACACACATACACACACACACTATTCTTTTTCTCCTATCTTCTCCACAACAACCCTGTGAGATGGAACAGGCTTTCTCCAGTTTGTTGTTATGGTTGGAGCCACACTGAATGACTTGACATCAAAGGAGCAAGTTAGTAATAGTTTGAACTACTCTCATTAATGTGAGAATCAACAAACTTAAAATGAACTGAATTTATTGTCACAAAATTGAAGCATAAAGCTACCAATTTTAAAAAATCTAATTCAATTTTTAAAAAGTTAAAATGCCAAATCATCATTTTATTATTCATAGTTTTGTTTACTGTACTTAAAACATACTTATAATAGTTTTAAATTATCAACATTAATAGAACTGCCAACAAATGAAAAGATGCAATTAAATGCATGGTACATTAACAAAAGGAAGATTCTAATTGTATTACTTTTTAATACCTTACTTCATTTATAATTAAATTATGTAAATCAAGAACTTTGAACTCATTTCATTTGATACAACTTATATTAATTTTTTAAAAAAACAAAAAGAACAAAGGGATACCCTTGAAGATTTAATAACAACATAAGAAATGAAAAACCATACTAATGACATTTTCTTTTTTGACCTCATTATCCAATGTACCATAAAGATTCTAGCTTTGCAGTTTAAACAGAAGAGTATTGACTATGAAGTGTACATTGGACCATGTTATTAATTGCTTTGAGCTATATAGTAAAGATGTTGGGAGATATTAAAAATCAAGATTTGAGATGGCAAATAATCTTTATGTTGAAAAACCCATCCTTTGTGTTGTGCTGCTTATTTTGCCCCAAAAATAATAACATACATCAACGACATCTCAGAAACCAACAACTAATAAAACCACATGGAATCAGCATAGTGCATAAACCAACCAAAGCTCTTCAAAACATCCTATGCAAATGAAAAGACCCAGCAGAATCATCTACAACAGGGGCCTCAAACTCAAGGCATGGGGGCCGGATTCAGCCAGTGGGGTGTTTAAATCTGGCCTGCGGGGCCACCTTGGAAACAATGAAGAACTGGCCCGCAGTGCTTCTGCCGAAAACAGAGCTAGTGTGGGCCATTGGCAGCAATCTCACCTCCATTTTCACTGGCACAGGATTGCAAGAGGCTTTTGTAGCTGAAACAGAGTTCTGGAGCCCATTTTCACTGGAAGAGTGCTTGGGCCACCACAGGTGCCTCCAACATGAGTGATGTCAAGCTAGCCATGCCCACCCTGGCCACCCCCACTCTGGCCCCCCAAGGTCAAACACAATCCTGATGTGGCCCTCAATGAAATTGAGTTTGACACCCCTGATCTACAACATGTAGTATAATGACTGCAACAACCACTTCTGCCTGTTTGGACAAACAGGCAGAAAAATGGCAGAACGCATTCATGAACATCAACTAGCAGTTAAAAGACATGATGAAAACTCTTTAATTTTGCAACATATGGACAAACCTAATTATAGTGTCAATTGGTAAACTGTGACCATCCTAGACCAAACCAAATCCAAAAATGCTAGGGAATTTCTACAAGTGTGGCACTCTGACAAATTAATTATCAATGGACACATAGACATAATATCTATAGACTATGCAAAAGAAACAATGAACAAGTCAAAAAAGAGAACAAGAAGACTTATACACTTCCCCACCAACAATCAGAGCCCAGATGAGCATATATTAATTTCAAGGTTAACATCAGACCGATAATCAAGTAAACAATACCCTAATCAAGAAGCTGCCAAACACACAGAATCAAAGAACCTCCAAGACTACTCCCACCAACACCAATAATGCAAGCCACTAGAATATAAAAGGTTTTCTTCCTTTGTGTTTGCTTTTGTCATTTTGTGAGGCAAAGGAAATATGGTAGAAAAGGAAATGCAAATTTGTATTAAGAGAACAGATTCATTCAGTTATAATAAATCCTCCCCTCCCCCTCTTTTACTTATGAAATTCAAAGAATTTGGGTTGAGGACTTAATGCCAGTCCTGTTGAACTGCAATTTGTCCTAGGATTCTGTAAACAAAACATGCTGTTCTAATAGATGATAGGTTAGCTGATATTAGTAGGCAGGCCTAGCAGGATGTGACTAGGTTCACCTACTATCACCTGTATTTGAGTTGGGTGGTCGTATACATTTGCTTAATAAATTAATTAATAAATCTGTTATTCCAGATAGCAGAGATGCAAACCCATTGCAACAACTCATAAAATTATCATCTACATTTTCTGACTCCCTGTCATGGATTTTATTCATTAAAGATATACACTTTGATCTGAGTAATCAGAAACAATGAAGATCTTGTTAGTGAATCACCCATCTTGATGCATAGCATAGTCTTTGATTGAACTAACAAGGTTATATTTCAAAGAGATTTTGATGACTTTTATTATTTCTCTTGAGAGTGGCAGCTCATGATCCAAATTTGATACATTTTTAGAATGAAGTGATATTTCTACAAAGTTGCAATTGATGTACAATTTTGATTGGTCAGAGATGGTTCCTGGCCATACTGAAATCTAATCATGCAACAGTGATATGGAATACTTGGAAGTGGTCAAGGATGCTTCAGGTCCAATATCAGCACTCTCTATCTGTTGATTGTCCCTTAAAGAAGCCACTTTTGTTCAGACAGTGGCCATATGTGCGTGCCCAGGAAAATACCTGTTTAAAGATGTCTTAAAGAAGTAGTAACTTGTGGTTGCTTCCTGTTACTAGATCTTTAATGCTTAAGTATCCATTGGAATAAATAGGCTAAGGAATCTCTGCCAGTTCAAAGATGCTATAATTATTTGATGCAAATTGCATTTTCAAAATAGGGGAAAAAAGTTATCGTTAGTCTACAGCAATTCTTGTAGTAGCCAAATATTTATGATGTTATTGGATTTAACAATTTAGATTTGCTAAAACAGTACCTAATTTCTGATCAGATTAAATGTCGTTGCATTTAAAACATCAGGGTTGAAAAGAGAGAGGGATTCTATACTGCAATGTTTGTCAAATC